ACTGTACAATTGCTTTGTTGTTTTCAGCCAAGCTCTACTCATGGCCGTGTGTACGTTGATACTTTCCTTCCACCCCTCCCTTCTACCCTGATCTCATACAAAAAGCTATACAAAGAGTGTGATACAGAGAACCAGCCCTTAATTAGCCCATCATCTATAGCACTGATGCTTTTGTTGCCAGCTGTTATTAAATCCCTCCTCATCTGTGAGTCTGGTCTTCCATAAAGAGCCAGCCTGGATACTTTTTAGGGATCACCATTTGGGACAAACTAAGTAATTGCACTTGGCCTGCCACACACATTCTTTCACATCCCAGATCTTACATCTTCCTTACCTCTTGGGAGTCACATCTTTCTCTTAGGATGCAAATGCTTGAAAGAAAAATTGAAATTATGATGCACGGATGAAACCTCAAGAAAGTCCTATATTTGAGTTGTGGACATATATATATGAATATGTCAATAATTACAAGCTTCATTTGTTATGAATCATCTTATAGATGTGGGTAGAGGGAAATTTTGAAGGTAAAGCAGACACATACGGAAAACAGATGCTGCATAGACAGGATTTCTGGGTCCCGATAAAAGCTTGTGAACTATTAACTACAGTGACCTCTTCATGAACCTAGAATGAAGGTAATGAGAGCAACAATATTTATTGTGCATTTAGTATACGCCAGGTACGGGGCCACACAACTTAAATGCATTTGACCCCCACAGTGTTTCTGGAAGGAAGGCATACTCATCATTATATATATTCCCACTTTGTTAGTAGCTAAATTAAGACTCAGTACATTGATCACAGTCACAAAGATGATGTTGCTGGGATTCAAATGCTAAATGGCTTTATGACTCTGACACTGAATTCAAAAGGAAAAAGAAAAAATATGAAAGCTAGGAAGCTGAGAGCGTGCGAGAGGACAGAACCCTGCAGCAGCAATCTTTTAATTTTTCTTCAAAATGGGATCCAATTTGAGGTGAAATGTTTCTCCAACAAATATGAAGTACAATTATAAGAACAAAGACAACGTGGGATTAAGAAGAATGATTTAATAGAGGAACGAGGATTTAGCAACATCAAGATACTGGCCACATCTTATCAATAACAGGAGAGAGCATTTACCAAAAACACGAAGTTAAACAATAGAAAAGACGCCAAGGAACTGTGAGCGAGGATGTGCATGCGTGGGAGAGTTCGGAGTTTCAGGGGAGACACACACATGGAGCGAGCTGCAGACAGGAGGATGACACTGATTAGAGCTGATTCCAACGTGTGTTAAAAAAAGCCTTCACTCTCTCCAAAGGAGGGAGCAGCAGTGCCAGCTCCTGATTAGACAGGGACTAGCGGTATCCGTGGTGAATTATCCACGTCTCTGCTGTGCTTCACTTTTTTTTGTTGTTACCTACTTTCTCTGCCCTTCCTCTAACAAAGAGTCTGACGAAGAAAAATCCAGGTTGCAAGCGAATAGCTTTTTAGAAAACACACATAATTGTTAAGTGAACCCAGGAACCATTGGCCACCTGTCTATGATGAGCAAGAGATGCAGATGTGGAGTAGAAGTTTGAAATGTACACACTTAAATGAGTACAACACAGATTTGCAAAATGAAGAAGAGAAGATGAAGAAAAAGAAGGAAGAAGAGGGGGAGGAGGAGAAGAAACCTAACACTTCTCTATATTCAAAATAAACTTCCTCAATCTCCCTTTAAAATCTGATTCAGAAGAGACGTCTTTAACATACAATTCAAGGTAACAACCTCTCATACTTTGAAACACTTTCATTTCACATAAATATTCTTCCAATTTAAAGTTCAGGTTCCTATCAGAGCTGATTTTCTCCTTCAGAGGGTCTCTCAACTCCTCCTCCTCAAGAAGCTGTCTTGTTGCAGTGGGTAAATTACTTTACGTCTGCGTCAGTGTCCTCATGTGTAAAACGAAGAAAAAGTTACTCACCTCAAAAGGTCTCACCAGATAGTTTCAGTTAAAAATACACAAGTTTTGGTGCCCTTTCAAATTTTGCTGAGGCCGAAAGTGCCTCACTCACCTCATCCTAGGCTCGGCGCAGGATGTGGGGGGTGAAGGAAGCTGACCTGGTAGTGAGCAAGCACGAGGCTCTCGGATCCAGACGGCCTGGATTGAATCTCGTTTCTCTGTCGTAGCTCTCTTTGTTCAGGCTGTCAAGCTTTGGGCAGATTACTTAATCCTGGACGCTCAAGTCCCTCTTTATAAAATGGGAGTAAAAGTGGTAATCCCTCAAGGGATTGTAAGGATAAATGGGTTAATGAATGAATATATGTAGAATGAATAGAGCAGCCCATGGGACATAGCGTGTACTTAAAAAGTGTGAGTGCCAAGGACTAGGCCAATGTCTGTTCTGATGCCAACCTAAGGCAGATGTTCAGAGTACCTCGGTGTTAAATATGGATCCACCTAGCACCTCAGCATCAAGCACTGCCCTGTCTAGTACTGCAGCATTAGGTCCTAGTGAGCCGAGTACTTCAGTGCCAGGTATTGATCTGCCTGGCACCTCAGTTTCATTAAATGTCAAATAACTTCTTCCCACATATGTTCCTCCTACTCCCAAGTACCTCCATGAAAGACATAGTTTTGTTTTTATTTCAGGTGTTGCGATTTGTAACCTCCATGTGAACCTTTAAAACAGTGTTTCTAAACTTTGGCTGAACATTAGAAACATCTAGGAAGATTTTGCAAGTCCTGATGCTCAGGCTGCACCCCAGAAATTAACAGGACTCTGGGGGAGAGCCCTAAGCCTCAGTATTTTTTTTTTTTTGTTAGCTTCCAGAGTGATTTTGTTGTAGAGGCTGACTTGAGACTCGCTGCCCCAGGGTACTTGCGTGGGGCTCAGGCAGACTGGCGCTCCGTTTCAAGTTCTGCCTCTTGCTGACTGAGTTAACTTGACCTTAAGGGTCTACACCTCTTTCCTCTAGGGTAATAAGATATTGAGTCAAATTCAGAGTCTGGTCTCTAATTCTTACGCCTGAAAGTTGTTATTACATCATTCTCTAGACTCTTGCTATTCAGAGTGTGATCAGTGTGTTGACGATACTATCACCATCAACTGAGAGCATAATAAAATGCAGAGCCTCAGGCCCCCGCTGGGACCCAATGTACTAGAATCTGCATTTTAACAAGATCTCAGGGTCACATTTGAGGAGCACTACTCTAGCGCAGCTCAGAGCCCTAATACTTTTGTATTTGGTTGTGAAATGTCTCTCCTGAGCGGTAACGTATCTTTGTTGGGAAAACTCTAAAGGCCTTTCCAAGTTTAATTCTCTGTTTCTGAGCTTATCTTGTCAGGTGGACCATGCCAAGATGTGCTCAAGTCCCTTTAGGAATTGTAATTCTTCTCTCAGTTTCTAAAGTGTTGCTGAAGGTGGTCCTGTCTCTATCCCTAAAAGGGTTTCAGGAAAAGAGCGATCCAGATAGACTCTGTAAAGCTCAGAGTCTCAAAGAATGAACAGACCCAAAGCAACAAAATCAGAACTCATGTGGCAAACTTCACTAGCTCTTTGATTCTTTCCTCCTGAAACAATTATATAACAACTCTTTGCACAGTGATTTACAGTTTACAGTAATAGTTTTAAATATACAGAGAAAAATGCGCATTTGATTAACGTGAGGTTGAAATGCTTCAAACTGGAACATTTCCCGAGGATTACAAAGCCTCTTAGGTGTCTGCAAAGTCCCACATTTGTTTGTGAATCACTTCACTGCCCTTACATAGACGAGCTGGTGACTGACTAGCTGTGGAAGGGAGTTTACGTGGCTGCGGACTTCGAGGAACTATTTCCGAAGGCAAAAGAGAGCAGGCTCAAATCGAAGAAAAGAAATTTGTATCAATCAGGTAGGAATCCCAGATTTTATAGCTGTTGTGTATTTCCACCTTTCACAATTTAGAAATCTTAGATCAAAATTTAGACAAACTATATATAGGGCACACACTGAGTTATATGCATTAAATAACATGTAAATATTGGTACACTCGAAATAAGTAAATGTTTTATCTGTCTCCAGAGGGGAATTGGGGAATATGTACTAGACAAAGAGGGCCAAGAGGATTTTTTTTTTTGCCAATTAATGAGGCAACTTCCTATAGAAAATATTCAGTGTACTTCTTAACATGATGTAACTCAAAATGCTTCTTGTTGGAAGTGAAATCCATACTCACCAAGCCTGTCCTGAGTGAGCCTTACAAGGCCAGAGGTTAAGAGAATGAGACAAACTTAACCTTAAACTTTAATTCCCCCTCTTACAAACTTCATGGCTTTAGGTAGGCTGCTTACCATTTCCAAGCTTCTATTTCAGCAGGAATCCTAAGAGCACATATCTCCTAGTTTACTGTGAGCATTAAACGCTATTTAACACACCCTGGCTGGTATATAGTAAAGCCTCATTAAATTCATGAAGTATTTTTTGAGCACCTACACTGTGGCAGATCCCAGCACTATAACAATGAGACAAAATACTCACAGAAACCTTCAGCAATTTTGACATAGTCACACAAGTGAGTATAAAATTGTTCTGAGGGCTCCTTACAGGATTTGACCTGTTAACCAAGACTTGTTAGAACTAGGCTAAATAAACTAAACCATCTCGGATACTGGATGCACTGCAGAATATACTGCAGACGGAGAAGCAACCCAGGTAAACGGCAGAAGGAGTTCCCTTGAATGCAACATGAGCTCTGGCAATTTCTTTTGTACAAACTTGCCTTGCCTGTGAGTTAGGCATCGAGCTATTATCACATAATGAAAAAAATCATAGATTTTTGCCAAAACCTTTGCGCAACTGAGAGATGGGGTGTGAATCCTTATGACTGCATTTCAGACGTGTGGGAAGGGGGACGTGAGTGAGCTCTGACTGTTTCCTAGCCCATTCAAAGAAAAGAGCCGTTTTCTTGTGTCTGCGCTTTCTGGGGATGTAATGTGGTAGCTGGGTTCGGTTTTTTGCTTTCATTTTTATGTTTTTTTTTTCCCCCAGCAGAAATGAGGACAGGAAGGCTGCCCTTCTGAACCTCCTCTCTGTCAAAGGACTTCTAGGGATTTCCAGCATGTGGAGGAAGATCAGAAAGTCTCCACGGAACTTCTGCCAAGCTGCTGGAGTCACAGACTCTTCCCACACTCCCCCTGGGCCTCGTCAGTTCTTATCAAGGATGCAGGGGCGGCGGCGGCAGCCTTTCCACTTCAGAAAAGGAAGCCAGTGAAGCACGGGGGAAAGAAACCTAACACTGGAAAGCAAGGGCTCCTATCAAATGTCAGTTGTTCTGTCTCTGACCATCCAAGAGGCTAAGGTTTGTGTGGGAGTGGGTGTTGAGGCCAGCAGCTCTCAGCTCGATGGGTGCCACGGGAAGAAGTGTGTATTTCTGTGTCTGCTTGGCAGAAGTTGGGTGGTGGAGACCCAGAAATTAAGGGGGATTTGTGGGGTCGAGTTTTCAAACCACCTGACCTTCCTTAGTCCTGTCTTTAAAACCGGGTCCCATTCATTCAGCACGTTAGGTCCCTGCATGGCTGACAAAGCCCGACCTCCTGGTTCAATACACTGAAGGCTTCTTGGAGGACTTACAAAGCGTTCTGAAGAGTTAAATGTAAATGAATCAGGAACACATGGATTCAATTTCCCTGGAAATTCACATGTGCTTGGAAATGAAGAGGGGGCAGTGTCTGGCCAAATGTGCTTTGATTTATCTGACCCCAAAATACAGCCCTCCCCTCTCATCTCCTCCCCTCAAAATCATTCAAAACTTTGGTTAATGTCAAACCATGGCTGGGTTCTTGAGACCCTTGAAACCTGGAGTGGTTTGAGTTCCTGGAATGCTCTACTGAGTGAAAAAGGGCATTTAGGGAGCCATATTCCACTCCCTGCCCCCAGCTAAAGGATCTCACATGGTTTTCTTCTATTTAATGGGGTTAAATTAAGGCAAAGATGTGATGATGTTAGTTCAATCACAAAACTAACCACCTAGTGCAATCCATGGAAACCTTTGCTTCCTGCAATGAGCGTTTTTATTCATAGGACGTGGCCCTGCAAATCATTTCTGCAGTAAAAATCAGGCTCGCTTTATCTAGGAAACCACTAATTAGGCAAAGAAGTAGAATTGTACAGCCATCGTCATCACCATCATTATCATCATACACCTAACATTTGTTGAGTGTTTTAGGAGTTTCAGAACACCTTTTAAAATAATTATCACATTTAATAGCCATAACTGACCCTTGCATGTAGTGTCAAAGATGGAACCGTTTAAAGGACTGCCAGGGAAAGAGATCCCTTAGTAGAGGAGCAGGGGCCTGGACAGTAAATAGAAGACTTCCGAAGCTTTCAGTCATCAGTTTGACTAAGGGTGCTTTAGACTCTGCTATCCTGGTTCCGTTCTTTCTTGGGAATTTCTGATAAGGAAGAGAAGGGAGAATTCAACTTTTCATCTTAGCGTCTCATCACAGACAAAGACCAGGCTGCTGTTTGTCAGAGGCTAATCCTGACTGCAGTAATTATTCATGTAGCCAGAAAGGAGCTGGATAAAGCATCCCTGCTTCTGGTCCTTCATCAGCATTAATTAGTTCTGCCCTGTCCTTTTGTTCTTCTTTGGCCAGTTGGAGACCACAACCTATTTAGGGACGCACTCCTTCTTCCTGGCTCAGTTGCTTTCTCTCTATCCACCAGCCTAATATTGTTTTCTTAGCGTCTTCATAAAGATTTCTCCCACTGGTCTGATGAGAATGTTTGCATGTGGCAACCGCCAGAGGGAGTGGTTTGATGACCAAGGGCAGCAGGAAGACAGTGTGGGTGCCTATGGGCTAACTCTCCGAGCGTGTCATGGGCCCCACTCAGCTTTCATTGCTACGCACCAGCCATCACTCACTCCTTTCTTTTCCTGCCTCTTTTTCTCTTCTACCTGGATTTGCTGTTCCCAGCACATTGGATGACTGGTCCGTCCTAGAATTCTTAAAATTATGGCTTAAATGTCATACTTTCAGAGGTCTTTCTAGATCTCTCAATGAGATGAAGGCTCCATATGCCCCCTATAATATATATAATCCTGTTATTTCATTTATAGTAGATCACACTGCAGTGATACTGTTTATTTATTTGTTTACTGTCTTTCTCTCCTGCTAGGACTGAAGCCTCTTGTGGCTAAGGGTGGCTTCTGACATGCGCATCACTGTTTCCCCAATGCCTGGTGTATAGAAGCTAATCAATAAAAAATCACTGATGGAGTATTCCAGTGACCAGTCCAAAAGGTGAGGGTAGTAACCCTTTGGAGGACTATGGAGCAGAAACCAATCACCACAGTGAGTAATGAATTATCCTCACACATTTTTTAAAGACGGAGTACTTTAGCAATTGTTTTTACTCATATTAAATGAGTAGCCATCCAGCTCTAAGAAGGCGATGTTTAGAAGGGGACCACTCTCTAGCCTTACACACTGTGAGATGCTGAGATAAAGCCTGGGACATGACAGGTACCATTTATGGTGTCATCATTCTAGCCAGCGAATAAGTTAGCTCACAAGCCTAATGATTGTGACGAGACAGGAAGTGTTAAAACAGCACCAACTGCACTGATGGTAAATTCCTGTGTGAAGTAAGTGATCACAAGTCATGTCAACCAAGCTTTTACTGAGCTCTACAATTGTGTATTAAGTACATAATTAGCATGTTATTTGATTAGTGACTACTTGATGAGTACATAAGAAGGATTAAAAATTTCAAAGATAAGTGAAAAATAAGGTGTTCCCCTTTGGTTATATAAAGAGATAAAGGAGAACAAAATCAAGAAAACTAAGAAAACAAGATGGGTGGAAGGGTATTTCACTACTCAAAACATATGCCATAAATCCTCTGATATTTTGCTAAAGTTGGCTATAAGTTTTGTTCTGATTTTCCTAGCAGCCAGTGTAATGAGTAAAATATGATTTAGTATGTGATTTATAGGCAGGGCCAGCTACATAATTTGCTGGCCCCAGTGCAGAATGAAAATGTGGGGCCCCCTATTCCAAAAGCAGGAAAAATGCCGTTAAATGTAATAAAACATGAAGCTTTTTCCTTTGCTCCACGCTCTCACTCTGGACCTGTCGTGGTGGTTTTTACTTGTTGTTTAATGCTTGCTCCCTGGGGCAGGGGGGTACGGCTGGTAAAGCAGACCCTCAACAGGCGCAGGGAGCCCCCCCCCCCCGCCTTGGCTCACATGGCCCACCTGCTGCTGGCCTCTCCTTCCTGCGGTCCCCAGCCCTACACACGGTGCCCTTTCTCCGGGCAGGAAGCCAGTCTGCCCTTCCTGCTGCCTGGCTGCCCCAACCCGTTAAGAATAGGCTACCCTCAGGAATTCAAAATCCTTTGCGTGGATGCAGTCAGTGCCTGGACTGGGGTGGGCAGGAAGCTTGCCCTGCCGTGCACATGGTGCTGCAGCCCAGGGCAGAGGCCACCGCTGCTGTGCCCCATGCTGGGATGCTGCAGGGTCTGCACCCACGGACTCCGACCCTCCCCATGGCACAGACCCCTGCACGAACTCCCCCCTGGTGCAGAGCGGTCACCAGGCCCAGAGAGAGAGAAGCCAGGCAGTGCCTGGTGTGCAGAGGGGCCGGGAGCATTAGGAGTGTCTAGGAGGGGCTGGGGAGGGGTAGGTCAGGTGGGCTGGGGCCAGCAAAGGCAAGGCAATGGGAAGCCAAGAACCCATCCCAGTGAGGTGGGAAGATGACAGGACGTGGGGATGCACATGAGCTGAAGCGCTAAGCCTGGTGCATCCTCCGTTGTCCCAACGTATTTCATGTACAAGATACAAATTTTAAAATAAAATTATTAAGAATTTCAAAACAACAAACGAAGAGCATTAAACCCAAGCAAGGGACTTTTTTGAGGAAAGGACCCTATGGAGCTGAACCAGTCACCTGAAGTCAAGCCCATGTATAGGGTCTCTAAGTTACAAGTAAAACAAAACGAAGTTGCTAAAGAGAAACACATCTGACTTTGACAGTGAGAACTGAAAACTCAGAGAAATTTCTCCCAGGGGTATGCATAAAGAAGACACTGTGTGAGATAATTGGCAGTGTCCTCAGAACCTTTCATGAATGCAATAAAACGACCGTTTTAAATTATGTACTATACATCATCATGGTATTTACCTTCTAGTTAGGAAAAGCGGAAAATAAACACATAAATCAATAAACTTAAAAAAATCAACAGACAGTGATTCCACAAGCTGTGGGAAATGCTAGACGGCTCTTTTGGACTCTGGTCATGCCTTTCTTACCCTGCACCTCCCTGGCTGCCATTCACTTTTTTACATTTCAGCTCAAAGTCTCCTCTCTAAGGAAGGCTTTCCTGTTCTGTGGCACTCCTCACACTCCCTTCTCCGTTAACATCGTAGCGGTGCTCAGAGTTTGCAATTACGAATTTGTTGATATTGTTGTCTGATTATTTTCTGCTCATCCTTGGTTAGACCAGAGGCTCGGAAGACGAGGGCGTGTTTTGTCCTGCCTCCCTTTATGTTCCTAGTGCTACACTGTTATCCTAGCGTTTGTGGAAGCTGCATCTCCCTGCAGTGGGCAAGCAAATTCAAGAAAAACTGCACTGAATATGCACTTGCTAAGTGTCCGGCATATCACTAAATCCTGGGGGGTAACATAATGAACAAAACTCACAATCCAAGTTCTCTCCAAACTCACCTGTCAGTATTTGCCCACCATTTCTCTGCTCTAACCACGTATTTCACTGATTGAACATTTCCATCTCTTCCCACTGCATTATTTTTGATCAAAATGTCACCCTTCCAGATATTTCCCTTTTTCCCCTTCGTGTTTTCCTAAAGCCTAAGAGACTTTGTAATCCTCGGTAAATATTCCAATATTTTTGGATCATATTTATTTAAGGCAGATAAATCTGGATTGCCTTGGGGGACAGTCTCAACCTTTCATACTCAATAGAAACAGATTTAATTGCAAAAGCCTTGAAGGACAAGGCAGATTAAAAAACAACAATAACAATGAGGGACATACAGAGAGACTCCCTCCAAACATCTTTATCTTATTAATCTCCCCAGAAGTCTTTGCTGTATGACCGCTGCTTCTTTCCTTCCCTCTCTTTTCTCCAAACTCTAGCTTCCCTCATTCCAATCCCCTCTCCTTCTTCTCTCTCACTGATTTTTTTCTTCTCTAGAAGCTCCGTGGTTTTTACACGATGTGAATCAATTTAGTATCCCTTGGTCAAGTACATTTCTCCACCACCGACCATGGTCAGCATCTCAATGCCTTGAGCAAAGCAAGTGAATGATTCTTTGGAAGATAGATGAGTCAAAATGACTACTTTTGTTTTCCTGTATTGTTCCTGTCATAGTCTCGTGTCTTAAAAAAAAAATAGAAGGTGAGGAACAAAGACTCAGGAAATCAGTATTGGCATAGAGATGATTGAACTGCAAACACAGTCTGAACAGATTGATTGGGAGAAAGTTTTCTTCTGATGAGAGGGATGGCCTTAAGAGAGCACATTATTTTGTTGGTTTTTTAAAAAATCTTAAAACGTATGGGCTGCCTGATAAATCCACCAGTATTGTATAGAGCCTGAACACTGGAATAAACATATATAAAGTATCCTTCATATTAAAAAAAATTACATACTCCCTCAGGAAGTTAAAAACCCATACTTTTCAGGTAATTGTATAATCGTGTGTGTGGTTTTATGAACTCTGGGAGGAATGAGGATGTGGTAGATAGAATAATGACCTCCCAAAGATGTCTGTATCTTAATCCCTGGAACCTGTGGATGCATAGCAGAGGGGAAATAAGGTTGCTTATTGAAGTAAAGCAACTAACTAGCAGATAGGGAGATCACCCTGATAATGCAGTGGGTCCAGTGCAACCAGAAAGGTCCTATAAGGCAGAGGAAGACAGAAGAAAGGCAGAAGATGTGAATACAGAAGGATGGTCAGAGAGAGCAGTGTTCTTGGTTTTGAAGATGAAGGAAGAGGCTCTGACTGAAAGAATGCGGGTGGCCCCTAGAAGCTGGAAAAGGCAAGAAAATGGATTTACCTATTCCAGAAAAATATGCATCCCTGGTAACACCTTGATTTTAGCCTAGTGAGACCTGTGTCTGACTTCTGTCTATAGAACTCTAAGATAACATGCTTGTGTTGTTCTGCCAACAAGCATGTGGTGATTTTTTCTGCCAGTCATAGAAACCCTACAGAGGACTTGATCTAAATTGTGGTATTTAACTTGAGTGTTTGCATGTACTGCTTTATTTATGAGTATCCTATCTTTATATAAGTGTTCTCTCTCACGCTAACCACTCTCCCTAATTATCTGTTTTTCTACGTATGGAATATTGGACCAATGTCAGAATAACAAATTCCACTTTTTTGAGAAAGGGGGATAATTGATCAATTTATAGTTGCGATGAAAAACAGAATCAGTTGAAATGATCCTGGAGATACAGACCTTCCTCTTTTTTAACAGGAAATGGGGATGAGGAATCTGATATGTTTGAGGTGTTTCTATAGCAGAAGAACTTGACCAGTAATGGATGCACCTACTCTGCCAACCTAAAACAGCATCCCTCATCATGAGTGCATCTGAGGATCAGACAGAAAGCTCTGTTGGTAAAATGGTAAGTCCTAAGGAATCTCTTTTATTCCCTCAACCGCCAAAGAAAGATCTGACTAACTCTGAACACTAGCATAAGCTTTTCTTCCTGTGACATCTAACTTTAGCAACAGGAGGCCAATGGGCACAGTAATTTAAAATCCTTTACTGTTAGATTTGAACTTCACCTTTTTTAAAGTAGGAAAACGATGGAGGCAGAGGAAAGCATCTCTGATTTATTGCCAAACCTTTTGAACTATCAATCTTATTTAGTCAAATAGTTATCAGCTTCACTATTGCAGGGCAGAAGAACCAACAATAAATACATAATTGTTTCTATTGAAGGAACAGACTCCCTCGAGACAGTTGGCTCATAAATTATTATTGAATGAAACAGAGTGTAATTTTTTAAAAATGTCATCTGAAAAATAAAAATAAAAATAAAAATAAAAATATAGGGATACTTTCAATCATTCCCACCAGAGGAGTTTTCACAAATATACTAGATGTTTGAAAGCAAGAAATTCTTCATCTCCTGCTCACTCCCAAAGTATCTCCCAGTCTTAAAAATCCATGCTCTCTTTTTGTCTTGTGCTTCTCTCTCCTCTTCTCATATTGCTTTGGGAAACATCCTGAGATGTCGTGATTTATGAGAAAAATATATGTTTGGCCATTCAGATGATCAAAATACATTTCTCACATATATTTGGTCTTTGTCCAAGGTTCCTCAGTCACAACTCCTAAAACCCTTGGCATTTCTGAGGTGTTGAGAGCGACAAAGGTGTCTCTTGTTATGTTAATGTGCTAATGAGGTGACTTTGGACCCCACCCAAGGAAGGAGGCTGGTTGCCAGGAGAGCCAACCACGCGATTAGAGGGTTGGAACTTTCTGTCCCCTTTCCCCCATCTTCAGGGAGAAGGGAGGGCCTGAAGTTTGAGTCAATCATCAACGGCCAGTTATTTAAATAATCATAACTATGTAATGACATCTCCACAAAAGCCCAAGAGGACAGAGTTCAAAGAGCTTCTGGATTGGTGAACACATGGAGGTCCTGGGAGGGAGGTGTGGCTGGGGAGAGCATGGATGCTTTACACTGCTTCCCCATGCTTTGCCCTGTGCATCTCTTCCATCTGGCTGTTCTTGAGTTATATCCGTTTATAACAAACCAGTGATCTAGGAAGTAAAATATTTCTGAGTTCTGTGAGCTGCTCTAGCAAATTAACTGAACCCAAGGAAGGGTTGTTGGGACTCCCCGTCTAGAGCCAGTTGGTCAGAAGTAGAGCTGATAACCTGGGTTTGCGACCAGCATCTGAAGTGAGAGTGGGGCAGTCTTGTGGGACTGAACCCTAAACCTGTGGCATCTGATGCCTATTTCCCGGTGGATAGTGTCAGAAGTGAGTTGAATTCTTGGACACCCTGCTGGTATCTGAGAATTGCTTGGTGGTGCAGGGAAAAACCTCCACACGTTTGGTGACCAGAGTTAAGTGTTTTGTGTGAGGAATAAAGGAGTCTCACAGGAACGAAAAGACGTAGCAGGGAACAGATGGATTTTCCCCTATATAGAAGGTGGAAGGCAGGTTTTTCCATTAAACATCCTTTCTACACTGCCTTCTTTCTTTCAACTGGCGTCTGATCCTTTGCTTACCTTCCAAAAGAAAATTCGTGAGGCTTTTTGCGATCTATCCCCTGCCCTGTCTTTCTATCCATTCACAATCTGCCATTCTCCCAAGTACATCTGGGATTTCTTCCCCATGTTTCTTTCATGGCAGTTTTCTCACATGCATCCTCCTCTCCTCTGAAAGACTCAGTTATCCCACTCTGCGCCCACTGCTTTGATCCCAACCCCACTTTCTGGCAAATTCTTATTTGTTCTCCAAATCTTGGTCTTCCTTCCTGGTATTGTCTCTGCCTTCCTTCCTTGCCTGAGATCCTTTTCATGTTCTGCACCTTGATAGTTTTACCTATGGTCTCTCCTATCACATTGAATTGCAAACATTTGTTTACCACCTGAGGCTTGTTACAGATCCTCAGTAACTTCACAGCTTGGTGGCTATAAATTCATCTCTTTTTTTTATCACCAAACCTTAAAATAGTGCCTTCACATGTAGTAGATGTTCAATAAATGTTGAATTAGTAGATGAACAGATGAAAACAAAAGCTGACATATTATTTTTACACTTCTCTAATTATAGACTTAATCCCAGTTGTTAACAAATGTCAATCTGTGGAAGAAAAATCAGGATCAAGCCCGTTACAGCCAAGTACTTATCTTCCCCTATAGTTTCAAAGTTCTTTTAAAAGCGGCATTAGCAGTTCTTTAATACATCAGGACTATAATCCCTTTTCCAAAAAATGCCAGAGGTCACCTGGAAATTGAATGGCTGAGCAAGGATTAAGATGCAAGAATAGGGGAACTTTGGTGAAGTTAACTGGATTGCTGCTCCCATGTCCTTGTTAAATGTGCTTTCTGGACCATGACAAGAAAGCACCATGGGGGGTCATGGGTTGAAGAGGTTAAGGGGGAAAGAAGGTTTATTGATTGATAGTACCAGCTCAGCGTATACTCTGCTTCTCTTCTTCTGATTGCCCTGCTTATATTCTTCAACCCGATAGCCTTCATTAGTGATAGACAATAGTCCCTTGGCCCCAGATTTTGTGATGCTTATTTTAGTTACATACATGACCTACTCAGCTCTAAATATTGGCAATCCCCATTATAAACTAAGAAAAACCCCTAGAGTGTTTGAAAAGAGTGGAGAGAACTTTAAATTTTCCTGAAGAACCAAAGATAACGTGAAGTATCCAATTCTTCTTTGGAATTAACCGTTTGCCTCTGCCAAAAAGAGATGTTTACCTATGGCCCACGAATTTTCCCTCTATGTTTAGACTGAAATCTCCCCCTAAAAGCTACCAAAATCACTTCTCTAGTTTACTGGCTTATCTAGTGGGCTGGGAGAAAGTGGGTGGCATTTTGTAGAGATGACAACGTAGGCTTCTGTCTTGGTGAATCTCAGTAGATTTCAAAGAAGAGAACTAAACTACAGGCCTGAGTACTTTCTGCTGGTCATCTGAGCTGAAACTGGGAGCTGTAGACACAGAAAGAGTAGCTGCCTGATGACTAACCTTTATTTACATTTAGTCTAGCCGTACTTCTTGTTGGGTTCCGTGAAGTCCCCTGCTTCATTAAATAGAGCTTCCATTTCCTTAAACTTCCTTGAGTGAGTGGATATAAGCAAACCACAAAAGACCTTAGTATGCCAGACAATTTCCTTATGTTCTGAGGAGAGAATTAATGCATATTAAGCACTTACTATGTACCAGGTGCCATGATTGGAACTTTATATTTTATAACATATAAGATGAATATTAACATGTATATAGTATATTCCAAAAATTTCACTGATAAAGCAGGCATTTTTAAAGTCCACTTAACAGGTAAAGGAACTGAAACTAAAAGGTATTAAGTCACTTGTTCAAGATCTTTTATCTAGTAATGATAGGAGAATTCAAGTCTTTTTTTAATCTCACAAAATTTTTTGTTAAAATTGCCACCACTGTCAAAATGGGATTTCTTGCAGTAAATGAAACAGACAGTGAAAAACAGAGAGAATGGAAAGGAGTAGTGAAATTTTAAAAAAGAGGGGGTATTGAAAAAAATTAAGCCCCTTCTAGACATAAAACAGACCATAATTGTGTAATTGAGGGTGTTGGTAGGGAGGGCATGAAGAAGAGGAAGAGGAAGGAGAAAGATGGAGAAACGAAAATGATCCCGGGATGGAAACTTTTCTGAATCTGAGTACTGAGGGGATTACCAAAGCTGAATTTTTTAAAAGTACTTTGAGAACAAATAGAACAAAAATCCTTCTCTCACTTAAAATTAAATAATGAAACGTACTCAACAAAAGCAACTGATTCTTTAATGTGTACCTTTTCCTCATTACACTTTATAAAGCAAAACAAGATCCTCATATGAATAATTTAAATATATGCAGTTCTATGGTGGTCATTATCTCTAATTTCCTTCACAGCATCTCCTTATTGCCTGGTCCACAGCTTCCAAGTCCAGCTTCTTAAGATGTTCCTTTCTTGCCTTGAATTTTCATGTACTTACTTCAAGATCAGTGATACCAAATTTAGTTTCATAGATACAGTTTGGTAGAGTATTAACAGATACACAGGAGCTATGATTATTTGTGCTTGGAACATACAAAATTTAGCAAAATTAAACAGTTTTGTTCCCCTTGATTATTAAATTATAGAACTTCTCAGAGCTTATTCTGAATTTTCATATGTAGGAATTAAATATTTTTGATCTAGGTTCCTTTCTCTCCCTTTCTTTCTTTCTTTCTTTCTTTCTTTCTTTCTTTCTTTCTTTCTTTCTTTCTTTCTTAAAAGCTCATGATATTAGTGTTTTTATGGAAATATCATGGAAATTCTGTTGTTGATTGCAAGTCCACAATACACAGACCTAGAAATATCAGTTGATCTTCAGCTTGCCTGGGTATCTACTTCTGCCTCTTTCCTATGCTTCATTTTAGGGTTGATTTTTCACTAGAGTCAGAAGTATAGGAACCATTATTCCTTCTCAAACATTAGCAACCTTCTCTCTCAGAACCTTTGCTTCTTCCCTGAGGATCCAAAATACCAGATATATCAAAAGTAGCTTCTCTTCAGTGGAAGCTTGAGAACTCCTCTTTTAAAGTCAGGGAGATACACTAGTAATACTTTTATTTTGAAATCTGTTAGCATCAGTTGGTAGCATTGTGGCGTCCAACTTGTTACTTAACCTTTCTGAGACTCAATTTTCCCAACTGTAAAGAAAAAGTTACATCTACGACATTGAGGTATAGTAGGAACCTATGATATAGGGAATTCTTTCTTAGTATATCTAGACACAGCCAGTACAATAAAGATGAAGTTCCCTTCGCCTATTTTTTGCTCAGTCTCTGAGTGTCTCTAGGTATTATGTCTTGCTGGATTGATCCTCTAGGAATCTGGATCATGATTCAAACATAGATTTCTCAT